GAAGTCCCTTGTCTACCAGCTCACGAAGTCATGGCGCCTCATTATATTGATATAATAAATCTGTATTTTTTATACATATATATATTACTCTGCAGTAAATAATGACGAAAACAATAACTAAATGAGTCTCAGACATAAGTTTTTTATTTACTTCGTTTCATCTTTCGGAAAATGAGGATAAACAGTCGTACATAGCACAATTCCCGACCATTATAAATAGTAACGTAAAATCATGTTTTATATTAACGTACAAGTTTCGTAATGAATAAATGAAAACTATATTCAAATATCAAAGCCGTCTTCGCACGAAAACGGCTCGCCGGCAGCCTTGTTGTCGTTCAGTCAATGTGACCGGCAGTGTGCGGGGCATGGTGCGGTATCTAAAGCTAGGGAGGGGCGGAGAGTGTCCGTTCTCTTTACTTTTTGTTCTCTGACTTGGTATCATAAAAAGTGCCACAAACACCCAAACTCGATACAATATAGAAAAGCCCTGTCGTCGTATTGAAATGAATATTGGATCAGTATAACAAGATGTCCTTGTGGTGCCTCAGCCACGCAAATACCCGGAGCTGTCGCTGAAGCCCGTGAAGGTGTCCCGTCGCCACCACGACTCCTCGCACCACTCCACGGCCAACAACGACGACACCATCAGTATCAGTAAGTTCCCCCACGTCTCTCCGAACACCGGAGCGCAGGAAACACTCAACTACGGGCAGACCATTCTACTTAAGCGACTCGAATATTACCTTGGATTAGCTTTGTTATAGTCCTTTTTGAAGATGGAGTAAAATGACAGTACATTGCGCAAAAGTGTTGCCCGCTTGCGAGCAGCTATTGATTGCAGTCGATAAATATTCTATCGACAATCGACTGAATGTTGGGTACGCAAGCAATAAATAGCCGAATTCCTTTTGAATCATCATCAGCTCATTACTCGTACCACTGCTGGGCAAAGATTCAATTGAATTGTCTTTTTCTGTAAATTCCTACATACACTGCATTTAGAACTATGCTTATTAAAAATACACGGAGGAGACATATTTTAAAGTTTTTTATTTTATTTCAATATCGATCGAATCAGGTTGCCTAAGTAGTCCGAAATGACACTTTCCAGAAATAACGTTGGCTCGAATCTTGATAACTTCGAAAGTAATTTTGAGAGGAAAATGTTTTTTCTTTTAAACTTAACCTAACCTAATCGTGTCTTTGCGATAAATATCCAACATATCCTGAAAAAACAACGGTTTCGTCATAATTCGGTTTTCGGTGTAATGATAATTCGAAGAAACTTTATTTCGGAAAAAAAATTAACAGGTCATCTGTCAAAATAAAAGAATAGAGAAGGTAATAAATAACGCAATTAGTAATCATTAGAACCTCGTAACATTAACAAAATTTTAACTTCCTTCACAAGCCATAGATAAAACTATCGACAACAACAACATGACTATTTAAAATTTTATGAAAACTAGCAACCCTGCGAATGTCATTTTACTCCATCTTTAAAAAAGACTTGCTATACTTACAGGCTGTCAGATATAAAGCGGAATTTCAGCCAATTTGAATACTATCCGTAATATGGAGATTAAGTACGTTTATGTTATTTTATATTGATTTATGATGCGAATGTGGATGGATGTGTTTTAAGGGACGTCTCAGAAGGACTTGCATTGACCAGATCAGTGATGTCCTCGAAAATACTGGGGTCCGAAGTGACAATAATGTAAGAAGTTTTATGAAAAGGGTAGTTGATGTATGTGAGGCTCCAGAGTTGTGCCAGGATAAAGTGGCGTTCCGTGGTTTCTGCCTACCCCTCGTGTGGGACTAGGGCGTGAGCTTATGTATGTATGTATATTTAATTTACATCATTTAAATGAACTATCAAATTTTGGTTAATAAATTCCCGTTATTTTTTGTTTTAAGTGTACAATCAACTTATTGTTATTTTTCTGTTTGATCCAATGTTTGACTGGCAGAGAATGCCTTATGACATTAAGTGTGAGGCCAGACGAGCGTAATTTTGTGAGTCGCGTAGTTTGCGCTGCGTTCGGTTTCATTTAAAAGTACGGTTTGTTTCACACGACGACGCATAATGAGTATCTGCCGACTCACGGGCATAATGACGACTGACTTTCGGTCGCATCATGAGACGGGCTGTCGCATATGGAGGTACGGGTGAGGGAAGGGGTCACAGGTATAAACGCTTAAAACAACTAAATAAAATACGTTCGTCTGGCGCTCCAACCGAATTTCGGTCGAGCGCAAATTGCGCAATTCAAAAAACGCAACTCACAATTACGCTCGCCTGGCCTCATCCTAAGTCCAATTTTGTACAATGTGGCAATGTGCAAGAGGACTTAAGTGTTAATAGAAAGTGTTTACAGCGTGTTATCTGTGTAATGGTACATTGACTGATCTATGTGACAATCTCTAGGTACGGCGTCGCAACTGTCGCCCACCAGCGGCTTCGGTTCCTGGGACGGGCAGTCCGTGGCCTCACTTCCTGTACACCACGACGAGCACAGAGGTATGTTTCACTCACAGAACAATAAATACAGTGGAAGTGGTTAGTTAGCGTCTGACGCGTGCCAACATTACGTCTCGAAAGGCCTACTTGAGCTCGGTCCGCCATTTTCCATTTGTATGGTATGGTTGTGTCGTTCTTTCGTGCAAATTCTCTGAACTCCTATAATAAATGCCTTATTGTGCTGTTTTAGAGTGCAAAACTGATAGCCACGTCAAAACGAAAAATCCTTTATTACCCGTGGTGGTATTTCATATCATCGAAAAGTCTTATTTTTAATAAATTTTCAATTATGTTTATCGGATTGATTCAGATGTTAATAGTTCGTCGTTGAATAAAATTTCAATGTAAAATCAAAACTTTCACCGATATAGCGACTGGGTAAAGTTTAAATCATATGAATAATTCAGAATTTGTTGCATCTTTTTAAATTGGAAACCATGACCAATCATTATGAAGATTTCGTAGTGTTTATCATTTGTTCCGATAGTAATCGAGGCTTAAAACACTTTCGTTGTTTTTTTTCTTCCGTAGTTTCACTACTGTATGTGCATTTTCATCAGTGTTATTTTCGACAAATAAATGTCATTCGTGGTTCATTTAATCATTCGATTCACAATATGTTTAAAAAAATACAGCGTGATAATAAATATGGTGTAATGATACGTCGTTTGGATTTAGCTGTGATTTCTTCACTGCCAATTTAGAAAGGAAAATGAATCAATCAATTTGTTTTTCAATTTTAACTTATGTATCGCACCCCTCATGGAAGAATGGCATAAGTGGAGTTACGTCAAAAATGTTTATTGCTCCTTTAGATACAGAAAAATATAATCCACACAGTCGATAGTGTTACAAGAATTGAAGAGGACGTGGGTCGCTTTGTATACTATGGTCGTGTCAATTATTCTGAAAATTATAGAAAAAGCCTTATTTCGCTACTTTGGAGTGTAAGAATGGTAGTCGCACTTGTAATATTATCTATGGTGGCGTTCCGTATCATCATTAAATCTTAATTTTGTTTAACTTGCATAAATTTTCAATTTTCTGCTTGTCGTAATCATGTTTCGTTTCGAGGGACGGAAGTAAACCTTATACCCCTGCGATATGGTTCCTAATTTTTTGGAGAACACATCTTGAGTTTGTCATCGTTTATCTATTAACTGCTAGGTGGCAGCACATTGGTGAGATTTAGGAGAATTTTAAATTTGCTTTTATGGGATGTGTAAGAAAAAAATTCTAATGTTATGTATGGAGTATCATCACTCAGTATTGTCAAAGTCTACTTTTTTAAAGTTTTATGTGCTTTTAACATAAGTGACATTTTTCACAAAAAGTCTTTAATTTATATAGTTATGGCAAGAAAATCACTATCTTTCTGCGCGTGGAGCTCAATGACAAAAAAGCCTGAATAAGAATTTTATTTGCAGAAATATGGTGATTTTCTTACACAGTTGTAATATTTTGCCGAACGTAATTTGGAGATTCATTGTGGAAAATGTCCTTGATGCGGTTTTCCCTTGAAGTGATGATTTAAAACCCAGTTATTCCAGCCGATGGAATGAATGAAATCGACCAACCGAATGACGGTCGGCTCGTTCAGTTCGCGTCAGGGCTCCGTCCGTTGCAGGGTCCGTGAGGAGCGAGGAGCGCGTGTGCGTGGTGAGCCCCGTGCGCATGGAGAAGGGCAACGCCTTCAGCCTCATCGACATGGGGCTGGCGCTCTTCGACAAGTCCAAGTCCACGGCCTCGCTCGCCGCCAAGTGAGTGCTGGGCGGCTAACCGGCGCGGGAGATGTCCGTTTTCGACAAGCCATATTTCGTCAAAGTTGAACTTACTGAACAAATTCCAAAGGTTCCTTTTCGCTGTTTTCAAATCATTTTAAATCTCGTCTTTCTCTAAGTGGCTCTTAGTTTGTTTTTATGAACGTGGAACATAATGTGAGCCCTCGAAACGGTTTTTACAATTTTTCGAGATTGTTTCCGGAAAAATTTCCACTATTTTAAATTTTTCGGAAAATTACCCAACAGTGAAAAGGAGTTTTAGTAACATTTGTAGCATGCTGCACGCGAGATAATTTTAACAAGATTTTTCTGACGATATTCAATAGCAAATTGATTAAAAATAGTGCCTACCAAACTAATCAGTTGTTGTTATGTGAAACGTTAATAAATAAATAAAAACTATTTCATTGATAATTTAAATGAATACACAAGCCATTCGGCACTTTTTTCAATCAAATTGTTATTGAATATTGTCAGAAAAATCTTATTGAAATTACCTCGTATACGGCGTAACGTAACTGTCATATAAATCGTCACTCCCGCACCGCACAGTTACCTCAGAACCGACTCAATTACGCGGTAGGTCTGTAGTATAGTTGGCGAAATATTTACTTGCACCTATTCGTCTTATCTTATACAATAGGACAAAAAAGTAAACCGTCTCAGTAACGCACGTGCCACCTGTATAGTGCAAACAACTAATCTAAACACTTGTACGCGGAACTTACTTTGTTGAATTAGTAAGAAAAGATGTATTTGACGAAGTACCTTGTAGTTAAAAAAAAGACCTGATGAGTAAATAAACAACTATGCTGGAATTCAGAAAAAGTTTTTAAGACACCCATGACTGGTACGATGGACAAAAGTCAAAATCAGATAATCATTTATTCCACAGGTAACATTTTTTTAACTACAGCTCGTTCACTATGCCGACTTCCCTAAGAAGAACGAGCAAGAAACTCTAGGGGTTGCCCTTTTCAAATAAACTTAAATGTTATAGAATACACTTTGAATCATATTTGTGTGGAATCTAGACTCACGTTAACGCGTAATCTAACAATTTTGTAATATGACTTTTCAATTAAAATACTTTTAATTTTTTTTTTTTTTTTTTTTTTTTTATTTATTCATTTATTTCAGGCAACTAAGGCCCATATAACAAATACCTTACAGACTAACATACATATTATTATTATTATTGATACATACCTTACAAACTAACATACATATAAAATATTAACTATTTACACGAATTACTATTCGGCGACGTGCGACGCAAACAAGTGTCATGTATCGTTCCTCTGAACCGCCGGAACCTGACACCCTTCGGCCAAAACTCTACCTGCATGAAGGTCGACAGATGGGCCGTTGGGACCCTCACCACAAACGAATTAAAGTTAACGTTGTGGCGAGACTCCAAACGTTCGACCCTCAGGGTGAATTGGGCTTTCAACCGGATATACTCCACTATATCCTCAGACTTCGTGGAGTAATGCAGTCGAGACAGGTACAACTGCGTCGTCGGTATGGCCGCACGAAGCAAGAAGTTCTGTCCCGTTAGAGCTGTGCCACATAGATTTCGGCTGGTGGGTTTCTTTCTTCTCTTCTCCACCTTTGTGAAGCCGTCCTCGTCGCACCTGTCGGTCTGCCTCTGAGATTTGGCACCTGCGATTCCAGAGACAGGCATTCGGGGTTTACTACCGCCCTTTGCAGTTTTCCGCAACTCGGGTTTTGAAGTCGCGGTTCCGCTGCTAATAGTCGCGGCAACAGCGGCGTATGCACGCCCGGGCGATGACGTGCATACGGGTGACGTAACCTCCGAGGCGGAGGGGCGGGCAGGGGGGCACGGTGCATTGACAACAGCAATGACCGGCGACATACGAGCCGACTCAATACTGCCGACGGATGCTTTTCGCGCCCCGCGACGCGTGTTGACGTAGGAGACTGTCGGTGACCTACATACCGAAGCGGGGTTGCGTAACAACGCAACTTCGGCACGTAGCTCACTTATGGAGTTATCCGACGCCTCCAATTTTGACTGAACTTCAGCCAAACTCGACTTCAAGGACGTGATGTCCTTTAACAGCCTGGTGACGTCGACGTGGTCAAAGGTGACCGGAGGCAACTTGTGCAGCTCCTTCGCCACGAAAGTAGGCACGTCGTCCGGATCGGTATTCTTCAAGAATGCAGTAACATCCTGGACACTCTTCAAGCCTCCATCCCTCCGACGAGATGGCATCTGCTGCGCTTTGCCGCAGCTCTGGAACAGCAGCATCTTGCCACTGCAAATCTCATCTTCGTTGAAATTAGATTTGCAGATCTGCTCGATGCTGACTTCATCCATTGTGTCGATGGCATTCTGCACGAATGCCAGAAACTCATTGACAATGAGTTGTTGGGAACAAATGTTAATGTAAGTTTTAAACTTAGGAAATGGTAATCTTAATATATGCTCCGGAATTTGTTTGTAAAAGCGTATACAGTTGTCCATAAAAGAATCGCTTATCTTAGTTACACGAAATCGTGGTACCATGACCAGTCCTTAGACCAAGATCATTAAGTCCATATACGTTTTTAAGTAAAATAAGTGTTAATGGTTTTATTACCCTATTGTAATAGAAAGCATGACGTTCCAAGAAATAACATTCATCTGTGCAAATAATGTTTCCTCAACTATAACTGTAAATACAGTAATAAGAACTTCAATATTGATTGTACTCGCTGATGCATCGAGTATGCATTTTACTAATAGTATTTTTCGTTTGTAGGAACTCGACAAAGGACGAGCCTCCATCACCGCGAGACCGACATTCTCCGAAACATGAAAAGTAAGCTAAATACGATTTTTTTCCCTTTCAGCTAATAATTTTCTTCGTTAGTTGCCGCACTTTCGGTCTACTATATGTAGTATGTCTAGACTATGGTCCGGAACACTCCATCCTTATGTTAATGTTTTACGACCCATACGCACAAAGCTCTGCTTCAATTTTCCTGATGTGTAGATGTAGCAGCAGCAGAGCTCCTTGTGAAACCTTGCCTATTTCTTGCCGCCAAGCGGTAATGTGAGAATTACTGCGTTCCGGTTTTGGAGGGTAAGGGTTCTGGTGAAACTACATGCACGTGGGACATGTCAACTTATGTCTCAGGGTGGCAGTGTCCCTCAGATCTTTGCTATTGAAAGCTCTGAGTGACACTGCAACTGTTATGGACAGGCGTGTCGCTTTACAACAGACGCACGACTTATTTCTTCTGTAACTTAGTACCATAAAAAAATCGAACACAAAAAAAAATTACTTCATTCTGATAGGACGCGAACCAGCAGCGTTGAAATATGGTTTATCCAAAATCGACCTTCACACGCAAGTAGTGCGGTGTCAGTAGAGCCGAGCTTGCACGCTTTCTGTGAGGTCATAGTGACTGTCGGGTCACCCCAGTGTCATCAAAATACGTTGTAAATTTTAGACATATTTTTTGTGAGTTTCTGTTTGGGATAACTGTTGTGCTTTTGTTTTTTTTTTGTCTCCCTTCAAACATTTATTTTATTATATTTTTTCGTCCTATTTTATTCCGCTTTTTACCATTAAAAAAAATCAGTTAAAATTGACAATCGCTAATGATTTTTATTGTGTAAATTATTATTTTATTTTCTTTTCTACTTTCGAACAAATTTTGTTCCATAAATTACTTGTTACGCAAACGTGAGTCCGTAGCTCCTGTCAGTAAGGTTCTGGCTGAAAATCAGTGCTTTGCAAACTAAGTTTTATATACTAAGCTCGATACTCGAGACTGATTTGAGTTTTGTGTTTTTACTTACTATTTTTATGTTAGATTTTTCATTTGTATGTTTTATGTTTTTTCTTTTGTGTGTGGCAAATAAATGGAATTGGAATTGGACCGTTTCGTAAAACATGATACCCTACTGAATGTAATTAATGTAAAATAGACACCCGCTTGGCCACAAGCTTCATGTGACCGACATATACATTCGTACGAAAACAAGGAGGATGTATAACCATAGATTACTTAATAGTCACTACGTAACAGATACGTCAGTCTCATACAAAATCGAAAATATCTACGCTATAATAGCCTACTAAATGGCACCAGGCGCTCATTATGTGAAAAAAGGAACCTAAGCACGCGGTCAGAGTGGTGAAAACATCGAGTATATAACCAGAAATAGAGACGAAATGTCATTTAATTTGTTTGAAAACTATTCTGCCATATCATTACGGTGACAACTGTGTTCCGATTGGCCAGCCCGAATTCGACACAAGAGACGAGTCGTTAATTGTCTCACTTCAAATCGACCAGTTTCACTTGAGCTTAGCTATAATGGACGTAAAGTGAAAGTTTACATATTTAATTACCGATGAAATGTGGTTCCGTTTGTTTTGTAATTAGATGTTTTGCTGTTTTTCTCACAACACCGAATGGAACAGCCCCCCAATGTTATATATACTATCTTTATTACAATAAATACAGATTTATTTGGAATTTACGGAGACGTACACACAGCACAGTTAGTTGTTGGCGCTGTACTATTTCAGCTTTCTTATTTGTGATTTCAGCGCAAACGAGAGTTGATATTTAAAAGTGATATAAGGCCCATTTACGTGACGAATTGCCAGGGATGGATGGCCTTTATATCGTCTCTATTTCTGGTTATACACTCGATGAGTGAAAATAATAAATAATATGGGGAAAAAATAATTAGTTCCCGCCGTGTGCAGTCGTGCGGAGCCGAATGCTCGTAAATGAGAGACTTATATGAGCGCTTGTACCGACGTCGGTACACTCAGCGGTAGGCAGTTATCGCGTAACCTTGAGCGAGTGATGGAGCCCTAGTTAGCTTTATGCAATTTGGGTGGCATATCAGTGACATAATTTTGGAGTGTTGCGGCTATTGAATGACGTGGTACGCCTCAGGGCATCCGGGTGCCTGGGCAAGCCGCTGGTCCCGCGCAACCCCATCGTGGAGTCGGAGTGCTACTGCGGCACGGTCGACCACCTCAACTCCTGGCGGCACGACCACAGCCGGCAAAGCGACCAGGCGCCGGCGCAGGCAAGCTTCTTTGTTTTTATTTATCTACGTGGTTATAGTAATAAAACGCTCTTTTACGTCATCTGCCCAATCCAAAATTGTATAATCAAAAAGTGTATGAATAGAATAAAAAATTGCACAGAATCAATTTTTATGGGCTTAGGTTATGTTAAAAAAATCAACTTAAATTGTTTGTGTGCGCATAATTAAATTACAATGTAAAAATGGCATTAATTTTCTTTAGAACATTTCACAATTGCACGATTTTTAAAATATATTTTCTTGTAATGGCAACACCTTTGTTTGTTACATTTTCGATCTCGGAGACCAACAAAGTTGACCATAGTCTACCGTGCTGATTCTATGCGCATTAGAGATTTAACTTTCAAGGCTTGCGAGCCGACTTCGACGTGCAAGCAGTATTGTTGATCATATATATATAAAAAAAGTATTTTGCTAAACTTATTCTGAAAACAAAGTTAGTAGCAGTAGAGCTCCTTGTGAAAGATTTCGTCCAGGGAAGTACTGCCACCTTACCTATTTCTGCCGCCAAGCAGTAATATCAGCATTACTGCATTCCGGTTTAGAAGGTTAAGAGTGCTGGTGAAATTATAGGCACATGAGACTTGTGAACTTACGTCTCAAGGTGACGGGCGCAGTGGCCGTGCCCCTCAGATCTTTGCGATTTAAAGCTCTGAGTGGCACTGCAACGTCCAATTCGTATCAGTTCCAAATCCGAGAAATGACTGTCCGAAATGTGACAGGCATCATTTTATCTATAGGTGTACAAGCGATGCTCGTATTTTCTCATTCGAATCGGACTTAGGCGTGAAACACACAATGGGGACCGCGCTCGGTGTGTTGTCGTCCATATAAATGCACGGAATTAGACCCCCCGCGGTCCCGACCCGACTCTCTCTCTCTGTGCGTCACGCTTTGGTACACAAGCGATGTCCGAAAAGGGTCCGAGTTTTCTAGATTTCTAGGGCGCAAACGCGCTAAGAAAAGTATTAAATACTAAACAAAATATTAAGAAAAGTGACTGAGTAGGCCGAATACCGAACAATCGTGGTATCTCTACTATAAATATCATGTGCGTACCTATACCATACCTGTGACGTGATGATGAACGGAGGTGGTGTTACAGGAGCGAGTGCCTCCCTTGCTGCCGCGCACCAGTGCAACGGAAGCTGACAAACCGCCGCTGGTGCCGCCGCGGGACTCCACGCTCACCAATTGTCAGTATTGAAAAGTTTTCTTGGAACACCACAATACAGAAATACACAAAAATAAAGAACAAATACAAACATATCAATTCGATGCCTCCAATTAACACTACGCCAACTTAATTTTTGGACTTCTGTTTTTTCTTTCTTTTTCTTTTTTTTTTTTGCAAAATTCAGAAAGCACAATATTAGTAAATAAATAGGGCTGTTTACAACAGAAAATGACCAAAAAATATAGTTGGTGTATTGTTCATTCGAGGTATCGAAATTATAAATTATCAACACAGCAGGTAATCTGACACTAAACACAAAAAATCTAAAATGATATTAGAAAAAATTGTTTGTTTAATAAAAATGGACATCGTCAATCTTTTTGTGAAAGAATAATGATTTGTATTTTTAATCATCTACGCAAACACTAAATGCACCACGTGACGTCATAGGTGGGTAAACAAGGAAACGTCACTGTATTCACAGTTTGTGTATTATTTTGTGCCACTTCTTCATTTGATCACTATTTAAATAAAAACTGTAAACATTTTGGATTGAAGACAATAGTCCATCGATACGTAAAATAATCGCAAGTGCTTATTGATAACAATCTGTTTCAATCCATTGTAAAACAGGAAAAGTAAACAAATCGGTTTAGTTAAAATCCTAAAGCAATCTCAATCAATGCAATAAGTAACACTACATTTACACTCGTACATTTTGAAGGTTTCGACTTGATATCTCGTCACTTTTTGCAACAAGGAATATCTTAAAATTGTGTTTGAAAAATGTTAGTACAAAAGTGAGCTTACTTTTCAAACTTGTCTATGGTTGCATGGGCTCTACGAAAGGAAATCGTTCAGTTCATTGAGTTACAGTTTTTATATTTATAAACATGTTACAAAAGACTTATAAAAATGTGAGATTATCTCTAGAACAGATCTCTTCCAGCTGTGAAGAAATTATCTCCGTACAGAGTACTAAAAAACCGACCTCAAAAGTAATTCATCCCCTAGTTTGCTACCCTTAGAGGTGGAATACTTTCTTCTAATTTAAGTGTGACCACTACTGACCTACCCCCTTTCCAACAAAAAAGAATCATCAAAATTGGTTCACAAGTTATCGCGTAACATATGTACAAAAAAATACAGTCGAATTGAGTGGAACCTCCTCCTTTTGTTGAAGTCGGTTAAAAATAAAGTATGCGATACTAATTATTGTTCAATAAATTTATTATAAAATTTACTTGAAATTTACATACATAAACACATACATGAACTCAATATAATATAATAAATTATTTATTTATTTATGGTACTGATTGACTGTTGAGCTTGACAGGAAGTGCTCTTTTAATTTGCGTTTGAATGATCTTTCTTGATGATCAATATTCATTATTATATTCGAATACGAATACCATCTTAATGCAGCAAAACTAGTACCTTCTTGCTCGCTCTCGCTCGTACCTAGTTACAACCTACCTTCAATTTTTAAATATAAATGTAATTATTAAATCATTTATGCTTAACCTATCTATTTATATAAGATCGTTTATGTTAACTTAAGTTACTATTTAATTTTCACTTGTCAGACGTGACACGTCACAAACCCTTCAAGGGTTTCTGTCATCAAGTATATACAAATAAGTATATAGAATATAGAAATAGTACTACGCCAATATCTGGCCTGTGTGTACGTGTCCGTGTATTCCAAAACTATTCTATATTTATTGTAATAAAGATAATATCTCTAACAATAGGGGGCTGTTCGAGTTGATGCAAACAGCAAAATATTTAATTACAAAACAAACAGAATCACATTTCATCGGTAATTAAATGTGTAAATTTTTGAATTTTCGTCCATGATAGCAAAGTTAAACTGGTCGCTTTGAAATGAAACAATTGACGACATCCGTCAATTGTTTTCGAATTCGGGCTGACCAATCGGAGCGCAGTTGTCACCGTAATGATTTGGCAGAATAATTTTCAAACAAATTAAATTACCTTTCGTCTCTATTTCTGGTTATATACTCGATGATTTCAGTGCATTGCTTACTATTTATTTCAAAGAATTTGTTGTGAGTATTAAATTAATTTTTTTTTAAATCAGTACTTCCGCTTCCCTAAATGAAAATTGGAGATATCACTGACCCTCCGCATGGTACTGCAGATTTTCCGCTAGTAAAATATGCCAACGCCTGAATTGTGTTGCAGCCATGGCGAGCAGTTCGCCGCCGTCGCCGCCCGACCGGCCGCTACCCAGCCCCAAGCACCACGACCTCGCTAGGTGAGACAATTTCCTTTAAGTAATTTTTTCATCTAATAATAGTACATCTCTCAACATGCTTGGCAATGTTTGCATTACTTTCAGAGACCATAATTATAACTTTTTTGTAAAAAAAACCGACCTCAAAAGTTCGTGGAATTACATCCTATTTGCAAAGTTTTATTGAAATCGGTCACCGGAAAGTGCGCGAAATCGGATTCATCCCTTAGTTTGTCACTTTTGTGAAGTGTTTAAGAGGTGCGCGGGACGCGGAATCGCTAACTGACGTGTTTACGATTCGTTCATGAATTATTGTGAATTAACTGTGCAAATGTTAAGTTATTATGCTGCAAATGTATTTCAAAAGTTAGCTAAAACTGCGACCTGTTGAGTGGTACATTTGAAATAATCGAACATTCTGTGGATTTGCCAACAACTTAAGATTTAACTGTTGTGAAATATTAACTGTGTGGTGAGAACTTAAACTCGTGTCATTGACCGGTCGTTAGTTCATTCTGTGAAAGAAATAATATTTCTTGTTTTTTTTTTAAACATTTACACACTTTTCTGGATGATGCGGCAATTCTTATGGATGCCGGCAACCAATTAAAGATAGGCTTTTTTGTGCTGCAGTGTCTGTCGTGAGAACTTTGACATATGGTGTGCCGGTGTGTCCGAGCAGCGGTTTTTTAATACATTAACTGCTGAATATAGAGCTGTTTGAAAGTGTGCGATTTGTATTGATAAACAACCCAAAATCGGCAATACTAATACTCCGGTGCGACATACAGGAGATGGAATCACGATTCGTGGCAAAGCGGAAATTGTTGACAGTCCACCAGATCAGATGGATGTCTCTTTACTGGATGCTACGATGAACATCTCAGGCCACGATGCGACTACAAATGCGTCGCATGCTACAAGTGCTCTGGTAGCGGAAATGCGTCTGTTTAGGGAGTTGCTGACGGCAACTAGACATCTCCTGGCCACTGTAAACGACACAATGAGCAAACTGGCAGCGAGGATGGACGCCTGTGAAAATTGGGTGGGCAAACTCGAATAAACGCATTACAGCCCTAGAGCAACGTGCTCAAAGCAAACCGGCAGGCGCTGACGCCTCACTACTTCCCACCGTTGAACAGCTTAAAGCGGAACTAAATGAGCGTGATCAGGAGCTGCTGCAGAATGACGTCGAGGTCCCGTGCGTTCCCGAACAAAAGGGTGAAAGCTTGCAACATATAATCATTACCCTTGCAAATAAATTAGGCGTCAATCTGGGTGAGCAGGAGATCGTGAGTGCCACGCGAGTGGGACGTCCTCCGGAAGAGGCAGATGTACTGGCGACGTCTACTGCACGTCCGAGACTGATTGTGGTGCGGCTAGCGCAGTACGTGATCAGATGTTGCAAGCGGCTCGCGTTCGCCGAGGCGCTACCACAGAGGGTATAGGTCTGCCTGGCCCGCCGCGCCGATTCTACATCAAAGAGCGACTGACCCGCACCAACAGGGTGGTATTCCGTCTGGCTCGCGAGGCGGCTGGGCGCGTCAACTGGCGCTACGTGTGGTCACGCGACGGTCGGATATTTGCGCGTCGGCATCAGAGCAGCGACGCGGCACGGCATCGCCTCCGTACCGAGGCTGATATTTCCCGTGCTTTTGGAATTGAAACGATTAGCGACAATAAATAAATCTATATATTTTTTTACATTAATTAATCTCACAGACCATATAATTAATTTGCATAGGATTGTAATACTAGTAACGCTTATTTTGCATACATGTAAAATCATTCAAAATTTCATTTCATTTTTACTTATATGCTTTTGTTTTGCTTTTTGTGTAATCAGCGTACGATTTTCTTAAATGAATTGCCTTCGTTACGAGTATTTTTGTGTAGTGGGGTGTGCTGTATCAGTGCAATGCTGCTCATTGTGAATCGCATTTTCTTGGTAGTAATTTATTTATCAATCTACATTTATTTATTTACAAGCATTTTATTAACACTGAATAATCTTGTATTTTTAATTTTTATCTGCAATATATTTACGAAACATATTGTTACCCATTTAACCTTTACTAATGTCAACATATTGTACAGTCTATACGAACGTTACTTATATACATTTTACTTACATATGAGTAACTTAGTTCATGTTATTGCTTACCTATTTAAAATTTAATCAATGGCTCCTAAAAATAAATTCATTAGGTTGGGATTATATAATGCAGGCTCCCTTAATACAGGGCAAGATGATTTTATTGTTGCAATGGATCGTTTCAATTCCGATATAGTTGCTATTAATGAGACATGGCTGGGGACTGGGCAGGAGGTTTGTGCGCCTGCACTGCCGGGCTACCGACTACGTCGTGCACCGCGTCCGCAGCATATGCGAGGTGGACGTGGTGGGGGAGTGGGGTTTTATGTAAAATCCCAATGATTCTATAGAGCAGATGTGGCTGACTACTAAAAGTAATGACTACTCCTTAGTGATAGGTACTGCGTACGGGCTACAGTGGTTGAGTCTCTAGGTTTTCCCACTATGATTATTTAATTCTTATGGGCGATTTTAATGTTAATATGCTACAACAAAGATACGATGAGACTATGAAGTTGGATCAATTTCTGCGTTGTGTGGATTTGAAACAAGTTCTATCTGAACCTACTCACTTTACTGCAATCTCGGAGACGCTAATTGACGTTGTGTGCACCAATGTACGGTTCGTGAAGTCTTGGTCAGTAACATCACTGGATCATTCAGGCACTCAATGATAAATGTTACATTGACGCTAAAAAAGACTCAAATACCTGCCAGAGCTATCACCTACAGATCCTTGCAGAATATAAATTTAGACAGTTTTAACAGCGACCTAAACTCCATAGACTGGGAATCTGTAGGTAATGAACCGACTGTTGATGCTATGGTTACCATTTTAATACACTGCTGATGGAACTATTTGATAGGCATGCTCCCTATAAAACTCGTCATATGAAAGATCCCAATTCCCTGCCTTGGATCACCAACACACTTAAATTTATGATGCAGTTACGTAACGAAGCCCGTATAAAGAGAAAACTTTCAAACACAGATATGCAGTACTACAGGGATCTTAAAAATCTAGTAGAAACTAGTATTTATTATGAAAAAAGTGCTTATTTTAATCACTGTATTAATTATAATGTAAAAGATAGTGTTAAGTTTTGGAAAAAATTAAAAAACTAAATTTTAATAGATCCAAGTCCAATAAAAATGAATACCTGCTTGACTATTTCAGTGACCCCAATAAGATCAAGAATCACTTTTTGAATGTCCCTGGGCATGATGAAATGGCTGCTCGTTTAGAGAGAAACAAATTCGAAACATTTACTTTTGGGGCTGATTCCTTAACTCTTCAACCTGTATCGTAACTGAACATCTCGAAATACATAATGTCTGTTTAGTCTAATGCAATAGGATACGACAATATTAGCTGTGACATGGTTATATTAACGTTACCAACAACTTTGTCGATAATCACTACGATTGTGAACAAATCCATTCTGACAGGTAGGGTTCCTAGACTGTGGAAGGAAGCACTGGTCACTCCACTACCTAAAATTGACAATCCCAGTGAACTGAAAGATCTTAGGCCTATTAGTGTACTGCCTTTTCTTTCCAAAATTCTGGAAAAGGCAGTATATCCTCAGCTTCTATATCATGTAGATAAGAACAATATCCTCCCTTCTCTTCAGTCGGGTTTCCGAAGGGGTCGTGAGACGGTTACTGCTTTGCTGGACGTAACGGACAATATACTAGCGGCACAGGACGCTGGCCGTGGTACAAGTCTTTCTCTTTTGGACTTCTCTCGAGCTTTTGACAACATTTGTGTCCCTCTTTTGCTTTCAAAATTAGCCTACTACGGACTGAACCCACAGGCGGTACAGTGGTTCGGTGATTATCTTGATAACCGACACCAGTCTGTGAGACTCAAACGCGCGGCAACCCGACGGCATTGGCATGGTCTCCGATTCGCAACCTGTTCATCGTGGAGTTCCTCAGGGTTCCATACAAAGTCCTCTTCTATTTATTATATACAGTGCTAATTTGATGCAAGTAATAAAACACAGTAAATTTCATATATACGGTGACGATGTTGTTATATATCTTTGAAGTGCCTGAGAGAATATCAGATGCGTTACAGCTGCTCAACAAAGACCTAAGCGCGATAGCTGAATGGTCAGTCAGAAACGCGCTTGTACTAAACTCTAATAAGTCGAAGTTTATGGTGCTTGGATCAAAGGTTTAGATTAAGAAAATTTTAAATAAGTCACCAGTAGTTCAATATTCTAGGTCAAAATATTTCCCTGGTTTACGAAGCTAGAAATCTAGGTGTTCTGTTAGCGAACTACGTTTCGAAAGACACTTAGAGAATCTTGTAAGGAGCTGTTTCTATAGACTGAAAGTCTTGTATAAAATTAGAAACTTACTATACGAGAGAGTGAGGATCACTGTATGCGAGTCACTGGTGTTATCTCGTCTCAATTACGCAGATCTTGTTTATGGCCCTCGACCATTATACAAAACAGGTCGCTTAATACAACGCGTGCAGAATAAATAAATAAATAACGCACACACTCAACATAGCCCCGCACTAGGGAAACCCTGTGTCGCGGGTGCCATGGACACACACATAGACAACCACAAATTACACCCAAACTCACGAGGGAAATAAATGTAGGCCATACAAACATTTCTCCCGACCCGGGAATCGAACCTGGGACCTCTGCGTGGCAGTCCGGCATGGTAACCGTTCGGCCACGGAGGCAGTTGTAGATTTATTTTTGATGTTCCGCCTAAGAGTCATATCACGCCTTTTCTAAACAATGCCTTTATACTCAATATGTAATCTCGCAGACAGTTACATCTGGCCTCTTTAATGTTTCATATTGTTAAATTCAAAAATCCCGAATATCTTTTTTCAAAATTAAAATTTCCCCATTTTTATAAACTACATGACCATAAGCCCTGATCATTACGCGCCCCG